CCCAAGGGCGGGGCCAGCACAGAACTCTCCTACTTTTCTAAAAATATGGAACACTTAGCATCCTCTTAACATACTCTTTGTTTATACACATTGTCTGCTTTATTCTGCTGGGGTGTAGATCCCACAAAGAGTGCTGTTTTGAATACACTGATGTTGCTCAAGCCTTCAGAGCTGTTACTGGCACAGGTAGTACTCAGTAAACACTTGTGGACATTATGGAGGGGGTCACTCTTGGGTGTACCTGCAGCCTCTGCTGCCTACCCTTTGGTATCCCTAGGACCACAGAAGCACAGAACTGGTAAACAGCAGAAATCCTTATCCATTCTGGTTTCTCTTCAGATTGTATAAATCTTTCACCTTTTACTAAAGATTTCTGTGGAGAAATCCTTATCCAGCTCTGGATTCTCAGGGTATAAGATACACAGTAGGTCCTCAGAGAATGTACTGTTCAGGGTACTCACCAATAGAATTGGAAAGTTTCTTTCGGGAGGAGGAAGCTGAGGAGGGAGGGACTCAAGTGGATGCATTTAGTATCATAGTGTTTGATGCTATCATGTCAAGCACTTGAGAAGTGGACCCCAGACAGCAGGTCTACCCACAGAGCTTTCCTTGGCTTTGCTCCCTGTGGCAGGCAGAGTGATGGGTCCCCAAAGATGGCTACTTCCTAACCCCAGGAGCCTGTGGGGTGCTTTTCCATCTGGTAAAAGGGAATCAGCAGATAGGGATACCATCTTGGATTATCTAGGTGGGGCCAGCACAATCACAAGAGCTCTAATAAGAAACAGAGAGACAGATAAGTGAGGAGGAAGAGCAGTGCTAGAAGCGGAGTCTGAGAGATACATCAGGAGAAAGGCCAGAGATCTGTTGGCTCAGAAGACTTGGGCAGGGCAGAGGGATGACCCAAGAAATGCAGGAAGCTTCTAGAAGCCCCCAAAGCCCAATAGAACAGGTGTTTTCCTAGAGGCTCCTGAAGGAACCAGCCTTGATTTCCGGCCAGTGACACCCACTTAAGATTTGCTAGAGCTGGAAGAGAAACTAGTGTTAAGTCACTGAATATGTTATGGTAGCCACAGGAAACTCATAATCCCATGGTGTTCTGCCCTGTACTGGCAGAGTAACTTTCAGCTTCTGATGGCTTCCTGCCAGTCTCACTCCCAAGACATGCAGGGTTCCAGCCAGCCAACCTGCCTTTGAGGACCATCTGGCTTATTTTTTCTTCACACATCTCTCCATTGGAGAGTCTCCTGCTCATCCTTCAGATCCTCCACCGAGGTTCCAGGGGACATTTGTCAACAAGTACTTAGGGGTTCTTGGCACTATTTGGGGGGCTGGAAAAATAGAACAAACAGGGCTTCTGTTATTCAGTGGAGGAGGGAGGCCTATCCCAAACAAGTACCCAGCTTGCTAGCAAGGCCACTTCCCGTAGCGAGCGTACTGTACCTGCATTCCCAGATCATGGGGGCCTCTGGTGATGCTGTGCCATGGACAGTGAACAGGGTGCTCAGCTAATGAGCATTGTTTAGATGTGCTGTCACATGAGGCCTCTTCAAGAAAAACCTTGAGCTGGGACCCGTTACGCAGTCTCTGGCCACAAAAGAGCCCTTCCTCAGAGGAGCCTCCTTAAGTCACTCCAGGCCCCACACCTCAGTTCTCCTTCAACTTTTCTGTTGTGTTTATCTGGTATTATAGACTGAATACGATTTTATGTCCCCCCAAATCTCCTTGTTGAAGTCCTAGCCCCTGATATGGAGACAGGGCCTTTTAGGAGTTAATGAGTATTGCAGAATTCAAGAGACTGGAGAGACCACAGGAGGTTCCGGAGGATTTATTTGGCTTTAAGGGGACACTGGCCCAGGGGACTCAAGTACCAAAGGCTGGGTGCTGAACAAAGGAAAGTCTCTAGTTTTAAACATGTGCCAAGGGGGTGGGACTTGTAGATGAACAAGCAAACAGTTTTGCAATTTGGTATATTCAGGTGGCATTGTTCTGGAAAATGAGGATGTTATGAGAAGAGATTATGAATCTTCAATAACAAGGAGAAGTTACTGTCATTGGGCAAGGGAAATCTATTTGTACTAGAGCAAAGGACAGCAGTCATGGGGAGCGGGAAGTCTGAGGAGAATGATTACATTCTGAGAAACTTGTTTTTTTCTGTTTTAAAATCCTGCTTCACTGGGATAAAATGAAGTCACAGGGGTGGAGCTCTAATCTGCTAATCTACTAGGATTGTTGTTCCGAAAGGAAGAGACACTAGGAATTCAGAGAAAATGCCATGTGAAGACCTAAGGGAGGTCTCCCTAGAAACCAACTCTGGAACCCTGAGTTTAGGCTTTTAGCTTCCAGGCCTGAAGTGAGGGTGGCTGAGAGTGCTGGCCTGTAACCCAACACTCAGTTCAAGAGTAGTCTAGGCAATTTGCCAGAGCTCTGTCTCAAAAAACAAACAAAAGATGAGGGGCTGGGGTGCTTTCAGGCAGAAGGCAACCCCAGCTAGGCTCAATCCTGAGTAATGCAAGGGAGAAAGATAGACTCGAGACTTCCCACTTCTGGTATTGTCAGGGCACCTGAACGGGTAACACACCTCGTTACTAAATCGACACCACAGGTCCACTGCAAGTCACCTAAGTCTCTCTGCTTACCCCTCTTATAGTCTGCTCAGTGCACAATAGCCTGAGAACTATCAAAAAAATATGAACCAGACCTTCGAGCTCTCATTCAGATTCCTCAATGAGTGACAACCATCCTGCACCGAAGGAATTTCAGATTTCACAAGGAATTCTCTGCAGTTCACACCTCGACCTTTCCACTTGCACAACCACCATACCGACTGTCCCTGTGGCCGAGACGCCAACGTCTGGCCTCGGGGCTTTTGCACTCTCTTCCCGCTGCCTGGGGCAGCAAAGTCCTTCCATCTCTTTATTCATTTCTGAACAGCTGCCACTTCTCAGCGGCCTTCTCTTCAGCCGCTTTTCCGAAACCCTCTCGCCACAGCCACACCCCCTGCCCTAGTTTCTCGGGTCTTTGTGGGCCGGGGTGCGCGCTCCCGCTCCCATCCAGCGGAGCAGAGCCTCTGGCCCACGGAGCCCCGGCACCTGGCCAGTGCAAATACAGACACACGCAGCGGCGGCAACGCGGGCTGCCTTTGGTCCCCGCGCCCCCGCTTTCCGTCAGGGGGGCCGGAGCCCCTCCAAGGCGTCCCGACCGAGGGCGCAGAGGGGCTGCGCGCAGAGCGGGGCGCACGGGATGCGGCGCCGCGGGACAAGCAGCCCCGGGGATGGTCCAGGTCCCTACGTGTCACTTGGCACGATGGTACCAGGACCCAGAGGGCCGGCGTAGAACTCTCCAGTGCCAGCGCCCCACGCCCGATCGCCCTGCGCGGCCGGACGCCGCCGCCGCTTCCGCCACCCCACGGCCTGACGTGGCGCCGCCGCCCCCGGCC